TACTCCAGTAGTTAGCCGTACACTGGCTACAGCTACATGAAAATGAAGCGCTCCTTGTTGCACGTAATTCTCTAAGCATAATATCAGCATAAGTAACTGTATAAAATTATCAGTTATTAGAAGTGGAAGTTGCGCAATGCAGCTCAGCTGACGAGATACCGTATAACGAAGTCCGCAGAGCGGTTTGGGATGATGAGGGAAAAGAAAAAATATGAATATAATCTTTACTGAGATATATGTACATAAATATATAAACAAATATCACAGATAAAGCAGAATTTGTAAGCGAAGCACATTTTGCAGCACGTCAGCTGATCTAAGGAAATAGTCGCAGATAAGTGACCGTTACAAATTGCAGTACTTTACACAAAGCTGAAGAATATTGAAGGGTATCATTTACAAACGCAGACACACACACCTTTACTACTACAATAAATGAAAGGCACAAAAGAAATTTGTTGCAATTTAATATTTAGACAATCTCAATACTGTTTAATATTGCAGCGTAGAGTCGCTGTTGACCTCATTCCGAACAACAAAAGGCACGTGCCGCACTCGCCTCGTTGCGGGCGTCACGTGCTGCCGACTGCTGTGATCGCTAACGTTCTCGGTTGAGGTATTAGTGGCCAAAATCACTTTTTAGCGCTAAATAAAGCTCGTGGCTTTGCTTTTGTTGTTGTTAGGTTTGTGGTACATGAGTCCGGCAGACAGTTTGAGCCCAGCTAGTCGGTCGTGCGGCAAGTGAGTCAACAAGTTAACTCGGCTGGTAGTTGTTGTTGTCGCAAGCATTTGCAAATGCACTTGTGTGCAGTATCTGCTCTGCTACTTGGCTGCTTTTATGTACCTTTTGCTTTCATCTTGCTATCGTTTCCTCTTGCATTCTTACAGTGGCACTAAAAAGTGTTGCACCATGCATTATCTATGTGGCACATGCTGTGCATTTACGTTGAAAACCTATCACTTGAACACGTTTCACTTTGTCATCTGCTGCGCTAACAAACCACTCGTTTATTTTATTATTCGTTGTTGCAGCGGTGGGCTGACTCGTGTACATAATCAGTTGATCTGGGCGTAGGTGGCGACTTCGGCCCTTTTATGTGTGTGTGTACGGCTGCACTGCATTGCATTTTTTGCTACTTTTTTCTCCTTTATTTTTATTTTTATTTTTTGAATAATGATAACTGAGCTTTTCACGTAATTTCAGCTTATGCTTGGGTGTTATATTACGGTTTAACTTGAAATGCTGTCCAAAGTTCGTTACATATATCTATGGTTATTTCCACATATTATTACACAAGTTGCAATTTAAACAAATAATAGCAAGAAATTATTTTTCAACTAGCTCAGCTAATCCATAAGCCCATTAAGTTTTTACTTAAATAAGAGGTATTGCAAAATATTAACTAAGTTTATAATATTAAAATGGATATAGTACATATAGCCGGTGATCCAAGTGAGGTACTTTTTTTCGTTATTTCGCATTTTATCATAGAAGGCACCTGCAGCACGCACTGAAGAAAATATAGGAGCCGTAACTCAGAGTGGACTCGAATACTGTGCAGAGTCGATTCGTCGTCGATTGAAAGCGCTCAAACTACAGCTTGTGCAAGAACTGATGCCTGTAGATCTTCTCAAGCGACATTGCTTCGCTTTTTGTGTTCTTGAAAAGTTTCGAGAAGGGTGAAGAGGCTCATTTCTGTCTTATGGGGTAGTATACAAGCGAGATTGTCGCAGTTAGGACAAAGAGCAACCGGAAGAGTCTCAAGAGCTGCCATTTCATTCGGAAAATACAACGGTTACAATCATCGATCCATATTTCTTTAGAAATGATGCTGGTGAAAACGTAACCGTCATTTTCGACCGTTAGCGTATCAAGATAACCGACTATTTGATGCCTGAAATTGAAGTTCATGAACTCCGCAACATTTGATTTCAACAAGACGGCCGCATTTCCCACAAATCGCATTATTGAGAGAACACTTCGGTAGGCAGATAATTTCACGCTTCGGTTCGGTTGATTGGTCACCAATGGTGTGTAAAATGTGTGTAACATCTCCTGTGGGGATATGTGAGGTCTAAAATCTGCTCGGATAATCCCGCTTCAATTCAGGCCTTGGAGCAAAACATCACGCGTGTCATTCGCCAGTTGAAACTCGAATGCTCGAACTAGTCATTAAAAATTGGACTCAACGGATGGATAATTTGACACGTAGCCGCGGCCGGCATTTGAAAGAGATAATCCTCAAAAAATAAATATCAAAGAATGTTCTTTCGAAAGATAATAAAAATTCTCCATTGTATTTGAAGTTTCTGTATTTTTTCTTTAGATATAAAACCCGCCTGCTTTACTTGGAAATTTTATGCAGATTAAAATTCCGTTTTCGTTTCGCCGCAGGTAGTCTTAATACCAAAAGCAGCGCCGCTCGCAAGTGCAGGATTTCAAATATAAGCATAGCCGTAACGTATTAAATTTAAGAATGTTTATACTTGCAAATAAACTTTGAAAGTACTGAAAGCGAGAAATCCAATTAGTTTTCTCTTACTCTCAATAGAAATCAAATGGTATCAAAGTTGTGTACTGTTTATGCTGTTTAGAAGCTTCAGACTATCCTAACCATAAAAAAAAGTCAACAACATTTTTCTAGAGTTTATTAAAGCTTTTGAACAAAATGTTGCATTCAAGTGCAAGTGATGTTGAGTTGTCTTGGTTGTTTTCTATACAAAAAAGAGTTTGGTCATGGGATTATAACTAAAATAATTGATTTTTTAGCTCTTTAACGGCAATAACGTTGTAATAAATCCAAAATTATTGAACACAAATTAATGTAGGAGAAGAGCTTATTTTGCTTAATTTTTTTATGTAAGAAGTTCGCTGCTCTCAACCTGTAATCCTTTAGATTAAATATATCTTCTAAAACAACAACAAATATAGTTTATATAACTTTGAGAGTTAGAGTTTAGTACATGGAGTTTATATCTTTGAACGAGCTATCTGCCAAAAAAATCATTGAGCGAAACCTTTTCGGCCAGACCAGATTTGTCTCAGTAATCCTTCATATTTTAAAATAGAAATATCTACTGCGAAATGGATTGATCATCAACATGACAGCATGGAAATTTATTAAGCTTTTGTTTTTAAGTAATATATACCACGCTTTTGAGATCAAATTGTCTTAACTCATAAATCCATTGCTGTCATTAAAATATTCCTTAAATTTTTCCCCGTTTTTCCATAATACGAAGCCGTACATTTCAAACAATATAATATTCGAAATATGCCTGTAATGTTCGTTAAGGCCATTGGCACGTTCTCGCCAACATTTATTGTTCATGGATTGCTGTATGGAGCACATATCGTTTATGGAGCGACATTTCTGCAAGCGAATTAAATAAACATGAAAGAAATGTACAAGTTCATATTAACTCCATAGAGAAGTTGAACACTTGTGCGAAATGGGCACAAGTGACAGCAGCAATGGACATTCACTTAAAGCACTATATAGTATTTGTAGAAGCAGCGCCCGCTTGCAGCAGCTCCTTAAAGCGAAGAAACGGCTTATATACACATAAGAGTGTACGTGCGTGTGTGTTGCTGTGGTCAACGCCCAGTTTGTGTGAGCGCACTTGCAGCTGCAATTTTTGCGCATTTCGTAGTTCATATTTTCGCATTGTTTGCATCATTTATTGCGATTCAGTTGAAATGAATGGACAAATGGTCAGCAAATGAGAGCAGCTGCGGCGCGGTGCAGGCGTATGGGTGCGGCCAACAAAGCGGGTATTAATAAAGGACGCAGAAGCGGATAGTAGAGAGTATGTAAGAAAGAATTTATGTGTGTGTGTGTGTGTGCGTGAGCTGTAAATATGCAAGACTTTGTATGTGTAAGTGGACAAGCATATAGTTTGCTAGCGCTGCGTAGATGTGTACATGTGTGTGTGTGTGTGTGGCAGGATGTTAAAGGCTATGAAATTTAATATTATTTAATGCCTGCCATTGAAATGGCAAAGAAAAGCAAAATAATTGCCACAATGAAAGCAAGGAAATAAAGCCAGAAACTGCCTCACACTTATATGTATGTATGTGTGTATGGCATGGAATAGAATGTGGCACTCGTATATTCGAGCACATTGATGATATACATACATACATGTGTGCTTGTCTCACATTGCCGTGCGACGTTCTGCTTGGCCTGTGGCTTCATTTGTCTTTCATATGAATTTCCAAGCATTCTTCTTCGCACATTATTTGTCGGTATTGTTGTTGTTGTTGTTGTTGTTGTTGTTGTTGTTGTTGTTGTTGTACACCCAAGCCACTTGAGCCGTAATTCATTCGCCATTCCCATCCACACACACACACACTCGCACTCTCTCGCACACGCACACGCACACTTAGGCACACAGTCCCGTTAATTTTCATTCATAGTGATGGGCGCTTAAGCAACACATAACGGTACATACAAATGTTTGTGGATATGTTATTGTCGAATGGCATGACTGGCCATTTCATTATCATATGTTTGCCATTAAAATGGCCAAATGAGATGAAATGCTAAAGGATTGTGCGGACACCACTTCAAGCAAGCTCACCCAACACTTATGCGTGCGTTTACATGCGAAAACATATGTTCACGCACACGCACACAACACACACACACACACACACACACACATATACAATTGTACTTTACACCAAAATACATTTAAATGCGCAAATACACACACACGCTTGCGCTTGACCGACACGCTCTTCATTTGCTCATGTCCGTGCAAATTTAAAATATGCAACCATTAAATTAAATTGCCAAGCCAACGCAAACACTCACACACACGTCTACGCAAAGTGTTGTATGCGTATGTAAATGATGGCAATTCGACAAAGAGTCGGTCAATTGCTTCAAAAATAGGGATCATTTATGCATAGCAATCAGCTGCTCAAATGGCTGATGGTGGGTTAAGTGCGCATGCGCAAAGCATTAAATGCATAAATTGCCTGCCGTACTTACCTTAGTAACTCGATATGACTTTTGGTGTTGCCAACCATATGCGTACGCAACGTCTTGCTTCTTTTGGCGATTTCAAAATGACTGTGCTGTTTTTGCTTGCCTCCAGCTGGCGCTGCAAGTAGGGAAAAGGTTMAAAAAAAAAAAAATTATTGTAATTCACTAAAAGCATACGTAAGTGTTATTAATTATTTATGAGCCATAATTTATTCACTTTATTATGCATATCAATGTGCTTGCAAGAGACTGGTGTGTTGCATGCTCGAAAAATTCTTAATGCTCGCATGTACTTACAATTTAAATATTTACGATTGGGTTTCGCAGGCAATTCGTACGGAGCGGTCACTTTCATTTCGTAATGTATCTTGATAAATACAATATTTGCGCTACAGAATATGAATATTTTTGTCACAAACTGTTTGAGATTGAATACATTTGTTGGGCTTGTCGTTGACATAAGCCAAAGAGCGATATTGAAGTATTCAAGAAATTTGCATTGCATTTTATAAAGAAAAATCGAACAGTTTTGATACTGATACAATAATAAAATTGTTGCTAACCCACATCCTCTAAAACTTACAAATTTAATAAAGGCTTTTTAGTCGTACTGATTATAATTTAACAAACAAAACTACTACCAAACAAATCTAAAATCCAAAATCCAAAAAAACAAGAAGGAGCTTAAGCTATTAATACTTGTAAAATAGAATTATAAAAATAAACAATTAAAATCGAAAGGTTTGACTTTACCGCTTCTTAAGTTAATATTAAATGGTTTTATTTTCATTCTAATAATTTGTCAAAATAAAGGTGCTAAAACTATGCTATAAAGCCATATTTTCAAAGACGCCATGAGAAGAATATTGCGCCATAAATCAAATGATAGCAAATTGTCAATATTTTCTGGATCATCATTTGATCCACTATGCTATCAAGTGACGACCAAAAAGGTGCTGTTTACCAACTCAGTGGACTCGAGGAGAAATTAGATTTATTTCCATCTTTGCATTCTAACATTCATTTCGTATGAACAGGCTAAAGGCTAGACATTTGCATAGGTCATAATCGCTTTCAGCAGACTCTACTTTATCAAAAGTATAGAGAACCCGACGACCTTCGTTCCTCTCAAATTTAGTTTGTTCCGATAAACCCCAGATTGAAACTAAAACACAATCAGCTGCGAGTAGATATTTTCGATCTGATTTTCGGCGTAAATGCAAACAATAACAAGCCAGGAAGAGCTAAGTTCAGGTATAAGTCTCAAACCCTGACCCACTCGATACAATATTAGTTAGTGGAACGAATAGTAACTGGGAGTTGGGGTAGTATTGGCCCGATTTTAAATATTTTTGCCAATGCCATATACTGTAACTTTCCACATACCAATAAAATGTACCCTGGGTTTCATAAAGATACTTAACACACAAACACCAATCATATGGAGTAAGGTCCGAGGAATGTTCTAAAGTCCTGATATTACTGATATGGTGGCTAAGACAAGTTTTCGTTCAATTGTATCCATTTATGTACAAATATACACTTTCAGGAGCAAAACACGCACTTTCGTTTCCATAGAGATAACTCACAACTTTAATTTAAAATTGGTGAAACTTTTACCAAAACGCTTCAATCGATGAAACAAGGTAATGGCAATGAGGACAGAAATGACGATCAACATGTGGGACGGAAACGGAAATTCCATCGAAACTGTGCGGAAATTCATCAAAAATTAGCCGAAATCATAATTGCAATTCATGGAAATCGAATTGATCATTTCCAAAACATCGACTTATTGCATTTTGACCGAATATTTGGGCTTACGAAAGGTGTGTGCACGGTTTGTTCCGCACAAATTGACTGACGACCAAAAATTGCTCAGAATCCAACATTCGAAGAACATCCTTGTGACCGATTATTTGACCAAAAATCACATTTTAACCATTAACCACTCCCCATATTCACCTGATATAGCACCGTGTTACTTCTTCCTTTTTGGAAAAATGTATTTGCCCATGAAAAGAAAACGTTATGCAGACGTAAAGCCCATTCAAAATGCTTGCACCGGCATACTGGCGGCCATACCGGCCGAGGAGCTAAAACACTCGTTCGACATGCTTTTGGACCGGGCAAAAAGCTGTATGGAAGCAGAAGGAGACTATTTTGAATAAAATAAATTAATTTTGCAAAAACAAAACAATATGTACTGCTTTTTTTATGGTCCTTTGCGCGTTGGCCACGGCGAATATCGCATTCGATGGAACGATGAGCTGTACGAGATATACGACGACATTGACATAGTTCAGCGAAGTAAAAGCGGTTACGCTGGCTAGGTCATGTTGTCCGGATGGACGAAAACGCTCCAGCTCTGAAAGTATTCGACGCAGTACCCGCCGGGGGAAGC